CCTTGTCCCTCCGCGACGAAAATGTCTTCCTCGTCGCACAAGCGTGTGTGTAGTAAAGAACTGTTTCAAACAGCGCCCTCTTACACAACGTGACTCGATTTTGGTCTGACGACGCTGCTGTTGAGCACGTCGCGCATTCCAGTCCAATTCACAGTCTTATCCTTGTCCGAGCGACATGAAAGGGGTTGGGGTACCACTAAAACAAACAGTTTTGCAAATTGAGGTGTTGACAATGTTTTCTCATTCATCTCCCTTCGCATGAGTGGATATCGGAGATGCTGCAGTAGTCGATTTACTGCTGTCGTCTTCCCCGGATAACCAAAATAATGTAGCCGTCAGTTTCATGCATCATGAAATTACAACGATGAAAAGTGTTTCCGTAGTGTAAAGCCGAGTAAGATTAACGGAACTGAAGAGTCAGCAATAGACACAGGGTGCTCGTTCGGATAACTGCATACGCCGTAAAGGTAGTCGGTTCGAACACTTCCACGTACCAGAAAATGGGAACACCCAGTAGAGGCGGGACTGTTTACTGGGCCCGAGGAGATTACAGTGGATGTTGTGTATAAACAAAACTCTGACCCCTACGGGCTTGATGCACATGCAGTTTCCATTATGAGTGACAGTGTCAGGTTTAGCGCGACTTTGATTGCCCAAGATATGTTTGTAGATGGTTTTGAGAGACTACTTTAAGCTTTGATTGACACTGGTGCGTCTAGCAACTTTGTTCAAACGCAAGTTATGGCTGGTCATGGTGTTAGCCTGCTCAATCTGAAAGAAAGAACAATCATTCGTTTGGCAAATGGATTTGGAATAACGATGCCAAAGCAAGTCACTCGCTTGGAAATAAAGTTTGAGGGGAATTCACGGTGAAGCCGAGTTCATCCTTCTCAACCTCGAAAATAAGTTTGATATCATCATATGCATGTTATGGTTGATATTATCCGTCTAGCATTGACTGGATGAATATGGAGATCGTCGTCGAGCATCGCAACTTCAAGATGCATGACGTTGGACGAAAACGTATGGGCGTATGCATCTGCTGAAAGAGTCACAGATGTCCCAAGTTATATTCTGATGTGCGACGACCCCATTTCTACAGGACAAGCCCAAGAAGATGAAAGTATAGAGACCACCTCGAGGTGGAGCAGTCTGGCATTAGACAAATAATGTCTCTTTTGTTAGTGACATAGAAGTTATGGTCGATAGTCATATGAGTTAAGTGGCATCAGAGACAAAGAATTCTTTCGAGAAAAGAAAAAAAGGCCACCAAGAGCCTTTTGCGTCAAGAATTCGAGTGCTCCTGTTTTAGGTAGGAGTTATATTAATGAAGAGAGTGTCCAAGGACAAGATACTTCAAGCAAGTTTATAAATGTTGTGAGCTACGACAAAGAAGGTGGCGTCGATATTATCCGTCACTTGAAGATTGACAATCCTCCAATTTCAGTCAAAGATTCGTTTTTTCTTGCCGATGATGAGCAAGAGTAGCCTGGCGAAGATCGAATTTTGAACTTATGTGCGATCGTCGAAGAATTATCGACGATGACATCAATATTGCGGAAGTAATTTATGAGTAGTCGTAGTACGCTCTAGAGCAAATCCCGTGCATGGACTTGTCAAGGAATATCTCAGACAAGTTGCCGGGTGAATTGCCATCCAACAGAGGAATTCGTCATAATATTGACATACTTTCTGGTACGAAGAATCGTATCACACAACAGTGGCCTTGCCAAAAGAACAAGTCATTGCAGTCGACGAGTTCTTTGTGTGGCGACGGAAGGATGGCCATGTGCGTGTGAGTCAGTCTACGCATTGTAGTCCAGCCTTCTGTGTGAGTAAAGTCACAGGTGGTTTGTGCATTGCTCACGCTTTTACTAAATACAACGATGCGATCATACCTGCCCAGATAACGGTTCTACGCAAGGATATGTTTTTTGATAGAATGGTTGACAGTACTTTTTAAGTAAGATTGATCTGGAAAGTGGTTTGTATACGACACAAATGCGCAAAAGTGATACACCACTACGTGCAGTCAGTAATCCCAGTAGTATGCTATGGGAATGGTTAGTGATGTCGCAAAGTTTGAAAATGTTCCCGCGACTTTCAACAAAATAAAATAGTCGCGATTCTTTTTCGTCCATGGAGAGAGTTTGCACCGAGTTACTTTGACAATATATTCTTTATAGTAAAAAACGGGTGAGAAGTCCGTTGTCGATGTTCATCTTGATCATCGTCGTCAGGTCTTCCAAGTTTTGCGAGAGATGAAAATCACCATTCTCAACTGCTTTGTGGCAAGAATGGCGTTCGTGTAGATCCGGAGAAAGTCAAAGCTATCAATGATGGGACTGTGCCAAACAATGTGAGCCAGCTGAGTCAATGATTGGGCCTGGCCAACGATTTGCACAGCCACACGCGCATATCTGTAGCGTTGGGGCAACCCCCAACGACTCTTTTAGAGAAGAACATTGAGTGGGAATGGTCAAAAGATCAGCAGACGGTATTTGCCGAAGTAAAGAAGATCTTGAGAGAAGCTTCTGTTCTTGCAAACCACGATAAGCATTTTCATTGGTCTGCGATGTAAGTGATTATGCCATCTGCATGGCCTTCCTGTTGAAATTGTGTCTGATCGTGACATCCGTTTTACGTCAAAATTTGGCTTGCACTGTTAGGACTATTCGACATCGAATTATCCATTGAAACAGACGGTCAGACAGTGCGTGTGATTTAAGTCCTGGAATATATACTGCGTAGTTAAGCTACGTCGTTAGCTGGTTGAGCAATTTTTCCCTCATACCAAGTTTCGTCGAACAACTGCACGCATGGCTCGACAGGTTATTCACTATTTTAGGTGAACAATAGTATTCAACCTGGAGTGCCTGCTTCCTTAATGGGCGAGTTATCTACTTCAAGTGAGGGAATACTATGGCTATAGAGCCACAGTTTAACCTTAATGCTGTCACAGAGATAAAAGCGAATTTTGATTCAATAAGAAATGACAAGTTGTGAAGAATGCACGTCGATGACTTTATTGAGAAGAGACAAGCCGTTGATCGGTCCGTTCGAGACGCAGTTGCGAAACCTTAGGATCTGCAAAAATAACAAGCTGATAAGAGCGGAAGGAAAAAAAGAAGCAATGTAAATTCAATGATCTTGTACTACTTAGCACGACAAATCTGACTGAACTTGCAGTGTCCAACTTGGTAAGCAAAGTCCTTTTGCCAAGATTCATTGGAATGTTCAAGGTGTTGAAATGCAATGATGTGCATATGCATTAGCCATCCCTACACACATGCGCCTACATCCTACATTTTAAGTGGGTAGGCTGAAGTCGTATCTCCTGCCGATCCTACTCTACCTTTGGTATATAATCGAGCTGGTGATGAAGTTTTTCTAGCTGTCCATGAAGAGAAAATAACTCCTCATCTGGAGATTCTTCTCGGCGTACAAACGTCGAAGGACATCGAAGGATTACTCCTTCACTGATTCAAACGCTCAAAGGCGAGAATGGTACTCATCACTCAGTATCTCGATTCAGCTGAGCGCAATAGATGATCGTGAACTGCGCGATGTATGCTAATGCATGGACTGGTAGCCGCACGTCAGTGATTAGCGGCAAATTTGCTATAAGCGACCAAACGACTGTGGGGCTCCAAGATTCACGTTTTGGCGTATTCAAAATACCAATACTTTCGTGCTTTTGAGTATTCACAATTACACAACGCAAACAACTTATTCGTACCGTAATGCTTAAATACAATAGTACCAAAAAGGTAAAGATTTCAAACATTCAGAATTTACCATTACATCATCCCACAAAGATATTTATCACATTGAATCTCACTTATAAGAAGATTTAAAGTCATTTCACAAAATGACTGCTCCACGAGCAAGTATTGCGCCTGGAGTTCACTTCACATCCCGCCTGCAGTTTATTTTTTCAGAGAGTCCACTCCCTTATATAAAAAAACTGGCTTAACGAACCCTACAAAATGCGCAGTCGGCGCGATAAACGTAATCAGGAGATCGTCGGTGTTGATACCGAGTCGTTCTTCGTAGTAAAAGATCATTGTAACCTCACGCCCTCATCCGGCAATACACGGCTTAGTCATTCATTAAGGTGGATGCACACTCTGCGCTCAGTATGCCCGCTACCCAAGTCTCTGCCTTCATCACCAATTGAATCAGCAAAGTGTTACAGCTATCCGCTGTAAAGCGCACAACAATTTACATTGTGTCATTTGGATGCTACACCTGGCTCAAGGAGTCCAGATTGCTTTGCGACAAGTGCAAGAGTCACACCATCTGTAACGGGTTCGCACAAAATAGTGTGGTCACACAGTGGTGTGAACACACAATGAAGTGGCTACAATTAAAAAAAACAGTACGTGGCTGGAACAGCCTGTTGCTATTCATTTGGTTTGAAACCTATAGAATTACATAACGGCGGTTTTGTTGCAGATAAAATACATACAGTTTATATCTAAAACGGAAGAGATAATTAGCCTCTTAACTAAGCTTCATCTAAGAGCTACGGCAGCCCCGCTGCACTATCGCTAGCATATCGCGTCGTGATTTTGAATTTTAATGTCCTGAGTCGCTTACCGCGAAGCTCGCAAACCCTCCTCTCAAACTCAAAAGCAAAACGAGCGCAAAACGTTGCTCCCTCAATACATAAGGAACTAGTTTACATGAGAGTCGCTTGCATTTAAATCAGTAGCAGTTTGGCAAACCTGTGCTTCTCGTGGGGGATGTAGCTTTGGTACTTTAAGCTGGCAAAATATTGGATGGGTATCAAACTCTGGTTTCGCACTAGATGAGACATTACGTGGTCTTGCCCATCTACTGGTCTTACAAGCCACTCCAGCGAAGTGATTTTTTCTGAAGAGCCTTGACCGGACAAAATACAAAGCATGACTCGGAAGCCGATAATAGCCGAGGGTGTATCAGGTCTGAAGCGGCCACCGCACCATATAGTATAGCAGACGCCGCATAAATCTCTCATGATTTATCAGAATAAGGATATCGCTTCCACTTCGGCTGGTACTGATAAAAGTCGTAGTTACACGCTGTCCCACCATATTTCCGCGTACAATCGATATTTTTAATCTTCGAGCAGCACTGGCAGATGTCTTCCATTTGGCTCGTCGCTCTTTGGAGCTCTCTCAGTTGCTAGCTCAATATTTCCGGTTGGCATCCGAAGCCAACATGAGGAAGAACTTGAATTTACTTAGCTATGCCGTCGCAATGTCTGATTTGAAGCGCCTTCTGGAATTAAAAAAAGCGTCATTTAATTATGGTATAGAGTAGATCAGCTGCATAGAACGACAGAGTCGTTGCTCCATCTACCACCAAGCTCTGCTCATGAGAGAAAGACTCTGAATTGTCAAAAATTGACCCATAATACCACTGATTTAAGTCATTTTCCAGGGGTGTAGGATGTACACCTCTTGACAACGACAGTAACCGGTATGGAGTAGCACGATCGAAGCTTAGTCATATGGACGTAGACAATGCATGCGTAGGTAGATTAAATCAGTCAGAGCAACAATATGTCCCAATACATGTTCGGGTGTCATCCTGTCTTTGGAATAGGTGTTTTACTATTCTCTGTAGTTGATTCCAGCCATGGTGTTGTGTGCCTTGCGTATATCATTCTACCTCATTCAGATACATTTAATTATCGTACTACGAAGTATAACCGGGCTGATATCAGCAAGGCGATTTTGATGGACATCTTTAATCCAAGTTTCTACACAACGGTGCCAAACGAACCCGTGTAAGAAGATGCTGTTCACAAATAGTCCCTCAAACACTACACACAGGCTTGTGCGCTGAGGATGCGATTCCCGACATGAAGGGAGAGAGACAATTCCAACTTGGAGGGAAAATTAATGACTTCAGCTCTTTAAGGCGAATATGTAACTGAATGAAAAATGCGCCATGATTCCAAGCTACATGCAAAACACCACAAGGGCTCCTAGAGATTTTACTATATTGGGTTCCTGATCTAAACGTCAAGGGTGTCTTGAGGTGATACCTCAGCTTCAACTGATACAAAATCTCGGGTGTACGATTCTTGAGCTTCAAAATCTTGGCTTTTAACTTGCGTAGAAGATATCCAGTAAAAGAGACAAACCGCTTCGAAAGCTTGAACTTCAGCTTTCGTGGAAAGTATCCAGTAGAACTGACTGGTTTGAGCCACCCACTTCTAAAGACGAGACACATCGGTATTGCCACCAGTACAGATTCTCAAGTAGAAAGCAGCATTTTGTATCACATAGAATGTTTGTGACTTCATATAAAAAATCACGTTTGCATTTGGGAACACCATACTGTAATCTTCTTCATTAATTCCCACAATACATACTGAAGGTACTCTACATGAAGGTACGTACCTTCATGTAATGGCTAAGTACACCATCCCTTCCTCATAGTCAAAGTATTTTGATACTTCTGCATACCTTTTAATGCCCTTCACTTTCCGATCAACAATGAAGCGATCCAGTGAACAAGCCAACATAAAAGAGCGTTCTTCGTCTAAAAGGCAAAGAACGGCCCCAGGCCTTATTGACGTTTACTCCATTCTCAACCGTAATGGAGACGAGATGTTATAAATGTGACTGCTCTTTCGTTGATGTCGGATCAGCAAACGTGATGATCCGATCCAGCCCATCGCAGCTAAGCTTGATTCTTGGCGGATATGTTCGCCTGGACAGCGAGCGCAAAATGAAGCGTCTGCTTTGCCGAGTCGGCGCTGACAGGACTCTCATCACGACCGAACACAAACAAGCTCTGATCATCGTATATTGTCTCTAGCAACGATACAAGCGGTTCTCGTAGCTGAGGAGGTTCCCACGTGTCCGAGTCCGATGGATAGCCTCGCCACCAAACACCGTAGAAGCGTTGATGTCTCAACTGCTACTTTTTACGGTGACGAGTCGATCGATCCTCGTGATCTACAATTGTCTCAACCCAACGACACTCTCCACGAGACTCTAATTACGGAGGTGAGGTTGAACGTGAAAACAATTGTGTGATTCTAAAAGTGGAAGAGCGCTCATCGAGGGCGAATTGAGGCATTGCTGCAGCGTTACTCGATGCTCAAATATCGCCGCGAGAGCCATTCAAACTTTGTTGCATTGCAGAGCTCGAAAATCGACGTTCTGACTGATAGTTCCGTCCAATACTCGGCTCCGGAGTCCTGTTTTGAAATACGGTTTCAATAAATTCATGATGAATTTGCTCGACTCCGGAAGGACAAAACATCTCGTGAGATGGTTCGCTCAAACACCATGACAGAGGTTTTTACCAGCGAAACCAAAACGCCAATTTTTTGGAATGCGCGTCTTCAAATTAATCGCTAATGCTGAGCCTCGGCTCAGCTTAAGGCCAAATTATCCAAGGCGATAAACAACTGTGCTTTCAAGCATATTGATTGCAATCTTTCTCAGGAAACCAACAAGGGTACTCAACAATCGGAAGAATAAATCCCAGTCCTTTTAAACAGTGAGACAATTTGAGCTCGTCACTACATTAAGTCCAGCCAATGACATAGTTCGAAGCGTCACACGCGACTCCAAAAGTCTTTGCTTTGTCTTGAAAAGCTTGCAGCCCTTATATGCAGGTACTGTAGATTGAAGTGGATTTCCGAGCGCAGCCGGTGCTAGCTGAGTGTTTGGTCTTGCGCTATGTCCTCGAAATGTGAGCCCAAATGTATAGTACGTTTCATGTTATACCCCACGATAAGGGTATAACATGAATCGTGGTGCAGATCCTACAAAATATGCTATTGTCCTTCCCCATTACCCTTTGGTGTAACTGTGAATATCGGAATATTGGTACCGATAAAGATGACAGAATACCGCAAAAGAGATGTCTATGATTAGTGTATGGTATTCAAGTAACTTGCACGGAGAAGCTTTGACTCTTGTCGCATTTGCGTATAAACGTACTGAAGATCTCACTCGTTCGCTCTAACCAGAAGAGATTCTTAAGTGACGAGATTTTAGATGCAAAGACGTGAGATTAACATTAAGTTGCAATTAAGGTAAACTTCACCAACCACTGCAAACATGGTCTGTATGCATCACCAAGTGTTCAAACAAGAATAGTCGGTCAAGCCTACGATCCTTAGCTGCGGGATTACACCAGCACGGTGCACACTACCCCAAAAGAACTGGACTACTACCACAAAGACCTTTGTTAACTGGTCACTTATCTGATCACCAAACATAATCAGTGTCAAAATCCAAATTGCCGCACGTTGCGGAGGGGTGACAACTGATTTGCGATATGACTTGATAGCCTGTCGATTCGATCAGCGGCCAGCTTGCCCCCGACTGCGATTTTGGTGAGCTAGCACAATGGGGTAGCAATCACTAATTGACAAATTAAATTTTGTTCGTTGCAGAACACACTGACGCACAACTAGTTGACAAGTAGGAAAATTGTATGTAAAGCTTTGAAAGGATAAACAAGCAGTTTCATACAGCCATATTACATTTAACTTGGATGCGGCGCTTTTCGGCCCTCAGCTGTCCTACTTATCTTGAGCGCCTATTAATTCGTTTCCTCATTTGGCAAGGCATCGTCGACGTCAGAAATTGATCCAGCCAAGTCACCATAATAGGCAGTAAGGACCTTGAGCTGTTTGTTCAGGAAAATTTTCTCGCATTCCACAGTTTCACCAGGTGTAAGCGCCTCTAAGTCTTCCACAGGTGTACCTTTTGGAAGGTAGTAGGCAATATTCTTTGACACGAGACGAGCCTTTGCAAACAATTCTTGCCCAGTTAGCCCATTTACAAGCATATTCTCCAACTTAAATTGCTTTCGATTGTACTTCAACCCTCCCCATGGTGGCGATAAAAACACGACATCAGCTTTAAGTTTGGCAAGAAGGTTGATGGAATCGCCAACAATGAACTCGATTTTGTGCGCGACACCATAGATAGTCGCATTATGTTTCGCCATGCGAATTTTTTCTGGATCAACGTCAATTGCAATAACCTGCTTACACGTCATTGCCAACTGGATTATATTGCCACCGCAGCCTGAAAAAGGATCGATGACAACATCACATGCAAGGCGCTTTGCAATATGTTCTGCGATAATTTGAGGTGTTACCTGTTGACACAGCAAAGTCACTTACATGTTCGAGCCTAAGAAACTTGAAAAGCAAGAAGACTCACCGAATACCAGCTTTCATGGTCAAGCAGAATACCATCGTTGAATTTCTCGAAAAGAATGTCTCTTTGCACGTAAAACTTGGCGACATCCTTTGGAACTAAAAACAACCCAATCACTGATTTCGAACAACAAGCCGTAGCGCAATCAAAAATCTACCTGGACACCTGGAATTTTTTGAGTTTGAAGTTGAATTCTCATGCTTTAAAACGCGTATACTCTGATTTTCTAGTATACTACCCTCAATCACCTCCACTTGCTTGATCACTTGCTCCATCACTTCTTCATTTGAAATATTCATCACGCGTACCTCGTCGACAGCTTCGGTCACCACTATTGAAGCTTTCTTTTCGGCAACTTGAACAACGTTTTTATCATCACTGTTTTCCTCCTCCTCTTCAAAGTCAACTTTTTTACATTTCGACGCATATGTTGTCATTTCATTTTCTTCAGACTCGTGCAGTTGTTCAATTTTTTGAATTTTTCGCTTTCGTTCTTTCGATGTCTTTAGCTTTGTACTGCCACCAAAACTGAGAGGTAAAGTTCCCACCATCCCCGCTGCCTCCATTTCCTCTTTTAATTGATTTTGCGCAGCTTTATACAGATCAGTGCAGGAATTTTCTTCTTTTGCATCTTCACACACATCACCATTCGCCAGTCTACGTCTCTTCTTGCTTTTTTTTCTCTTCTTAAGCTACAAGAATAAAAGGCATTTAACTATTAATTTGCATCGTCTTAGTGACATATTTACCAACAATTGGAGGCTTGACAATTACTTCACCTGATTGTTTGGCGTTTCGCGGCTGCGGAGTTGCACTTCACTCAGCAGAGTCATTATGCGTTTTTGATTCAAATCCATTGGATGTCAATTGAACAATTTTCCACCAATCCCAGACGCCATGGGAATTGTTGAAGTGCGCATTATATCTTTCAAAGCCACCATGCGCGTCGTCAACGCTGTGACAGGCGTCCTAGCGGCGTTTCTGAGTCGAAAGGAATCTCATGCACAAATTAGTAATGCCGAGTGGCATGCAGGTATCCCGTTGACGACTTGGAGTGCTAAGACTGTGCCGTCCGTGTGCGCACTCGACGTCTTCCACTTTAAGGTTCGATTCCCCATATCTCAGCCCACAAACATATACGAACATCATGACCATTTCAAGTGGCAACTGATCCTCCAGAGAGAGAACAAGCTACAAGCTGGCACAATTGTCGCCTCTGGGCAATTAAGAGTCACGCAACTGAGCACGGATGACCGGGAACTAGAAGAAGATGATAAGAATTCTGAAGAACCGGATGAAGATGGGCTCAAATGTGAATTTGACTCTGACTTTTGTATTCCAAAACTAGTTGGTATTCGTTTGCCAAACATCGACACCGGAATTCCAGAAAAGACCTCGTTGCTGCAGAATCATACAATTGTGCTAAATTTCGAGCAGCCGACAAACCGCCCTGATGCAAAATCGAAAGTGGATATTGATCGCTTTGTAACTTTTACAGAATATATTGGAGACGAGCTGAATGGCATGTGGTCAGACGATGGACGTGTGGTTGTGATTCGGATCACCCGCATTAATGCTAAAAAAGTGAAACCTGTCGGAGAGCTAATGCAAGGGCTACTGCGTACAAACATCATTGTTGCAGGCAAGAAAGCAGGTCGAGTTGAGAACAAGACGTTTACGTATGAAGGATTCCAGAGCCTCCGTATTGAGCGGTATGGAATTTATACAATTTGTATTTTAGCTCGTAATGAGGTGGTATTACGATCACCCATGGTCACGGTCGTGCCGTGTGATGCATCATATGTTGTGCTGGATTCGACGCGTCCCGCACAAAGAACCGAAGATATAGATGGCAAAGCTATGAGTGATACAAGCCCAAGTTTTGCAATTGATGGGATGCTGACGCATGGAGGGGGTGAAGGGTTTGTACTTCCGCATGCATTAATTCAAATGGAAACCCCAGGCTCCTGGAGCTTAAGCTTTTGGGTCTTTTTGATTGAAAATTGTACAGGTGATTTTCGAAGCTTGTTTTTTCATGGAGATGGTGAAAATCAGCAACGAACGCCATCGGCCTGGTGGAAACCGAATGAGCGTCGGCTTGTCTTGCGGGTTAGCACAACGACCAGTGCCGACGTTGGAATAGATAGTGCGAGCGAACTTCCTCTTTATGAATGGGTTCACATGGGATTTACATTTGTAAATTGCTCTCACAGTAATACACACGAGAAATGTTCACTCAAAGAAAGCAGTCAAAGCTGGAATTATTCATATTCTCTTTATATTGATGGAATGCTCGATACCCAGATGCATATTCATGAATCAGTTGCCCCAAACACTGGTCCCTTGTACATTGGTAAAGGACCGGGGACAGATGGAATGCGTGGCTTTACGAGCAGCATAAAGGTGTTCCCAGCTCCTATCTCACCGGATAAACATCGCAGGCTATATTTATCAGAGAGACACCTGCACGAAAAGTACACGAACTGTGTTCAGGATTCGTCGTTTGAAGATGAGATTTCAGAGCCGACAGTACAGATAACCTATTTAACGCAGTGCTTTCATTATCTTAGCAAATTTGACAGATATGCGGTCAATGGAAATGTTGGTCTCGACAATTCTTTTCCAGTTGCCGATACTGCATTGGAGGAGCTGACTACTGCTTTAGAGCTATGCGATTCGGTTGCTTGGGATTTGCTAGTCGAAGCTGCAGATAACGGGAATCCAAATGCATGTCGGGATGTCGGTCATGCCTATTTGTACGGATCAACCGAAACCTTACATCATTGCTTCGCATCTATCCCCGTTAAGCAAAACTTGACCGCTTCGAGACAATTTCTTTCTAAAGCATTTCGTGACGGAGTATACAGCGCTGGAAAGCCTCTAGCACTCTCACTTGCTTTAGAGAGAGAGACAGGAACCCTTGATGGCGGCAAACTTGACTTGCTGACGACAGGGCTCATCCATTTCGCTGCAGCCAATGGTGAAAAGGATGCATTTGCAATGCTGGGACACCGATATTGCGATTTAGATACAGAACTGGCGACATATTACTATTATCATGCCGCTGTCGAAGCAGCCAGGAATTACCATCAACATGGAAAGCAACCATTACATGAAATGACACGACTTTATGACTCGTTTAAAAGAGACGTGACAGTGGGCGAGCGGGGTGACGACGACGAGCATATTCAATTTCAAAAATTGCGCGCTGATAATGGCGACGTTGAAGCGATGGCAGCAATGGGGGACATTTATTACTGGGGTGCTCACGGAATCTCCCGTGACCATGAGGAGGCATTTAAGTACTATTATCAAGCAGCTGAAGCAGGCGATGTCAAGTCGCAGACAGCAATAGCTGGAATGCTTCTCAAAGGGGAAGGAGTAGCTCAAGACAATGTCACAGCCATCAAGTGGTACGAAGAGGCCTCAAAAGAGAATCACACGCGAGCGCTGAATGGCTTGGGCTTTATTCACTTTTACGGAAGTGGTGGCGTTGCAGAGAACAAGGCACTAGCACTTGAGTACTTTGAGCGGGCTGCAGCAAACGAATTAGACGGTGATAGCATTTTTAATGCTGGATATTGTCATGCGATGGGACATGGTACAAGTGTCAACATCAGCCGTGCAATGGAATATTACGATGTGGCTGCAAAAAAATTCGGACATTTTGATGCCATCTTCGAAATGGGCAAGATGTACTTTGAAGGGTTGACACCAATAACACGCAACTGTACGAAGGCACTTCAATACTTAAAAGCGGCGTCTGATGGCGGACAATGGGGTAACGTTGTGAGAAAAGGCTTCAATTTGTACATTAATGGTGAGTTTGAGCGTGCTGTGGTTTCCTATTATGAAGCCCATGAGCTTGGATATTCCGTAGCAATTAGCAATTTAGCCTTCCTTTTTGACCAGCATCTTTTGCAGCAAGGAAGCGAGGCCAGTGAACGCCGAGCGCTAAAATATTTGTTGCTGACGTACAAAGCAAATGGAGACAAAGAAGTTCTTGTGCGTATTGGAGATTATCACTACTACGGACTTGCTGGGCTGAGTAGGGATCCAGAGATCGCTCTTCGATGGTACAGCCGTGCTAGCGCCGCGGGTGTCGCTGTCGGAGCATTCAATGTCGGTCAAATGTACGAATTAGGCGACGGTGTCAAAACTCATTTGAATCGTGCTCATCGTTATTATATCCGCGCACTGGAGCTAGCAGCTGAACAATCAGAAACTCGGTTGGCTACCCGTATCGCGCTCGCCAGATTAACCATTCGAAATTGGTTACGCAACACCTATTTAGAAAAAATTCTTGGCTTGAAAAGCGCACTTCACTCAAGTCAAAAATCAAACATGTCAGCTACAGACTCAACAAAGCCATGTGGTGTAAGTATCAGCCCCTTTGACGGGGAAGCATGTGTGCTTATCTTCACAGTAACGACTCTTTGCATCGCGATCGGCGTATGGTACCTGAAGAAATAATTTTATGTAGGAAGGGCCGTCACCCACGGCAACATGAGGTGTCAGCATGTCTTTCACTGTCAGCTTGTCTTTCACTGTTAGCTTGTCTTTCACTGTCAGCATGTCTTTCACTGTCAGCATGTCTTTCACTGTCCCGTGCTAGTATCGACCAAGCTCAGCGAGCAGTGATGCGAGCAGCCAGTGGGGCAAACCGTCTCTTGTGCAAACCATTCTGTCAAATGATTTAAGTGACCGCCATGCGCACAGACAGGACACCAGACGTAGAGACCGCGAACTGGCAATTGACTAGTATAGAGAAAATGATGATATCATTATGTAACAAAATTCTCAGCTTTCGAAAGTTTAGCTTGATGCGACCCTTACCAGATGGAGCATAGCGTGGCAGGATTGCTGCAGTGCGTACATAAAGAAAGTGGTACACCGAGCTCCCTGGGACCGGAAGACTCCAGTGATTTGGAACATCTCGCACAATTGAAATAGACGCTCGTGGATTTCTACAGTTTTGTCCATAAACCCATTTAGCTTTACAGTGCGACATCAAGAAAATGTTTGACTTACCATGTTCATTTGTCGAATGGATTGGTCCGAGCAATTGGCAATCAGCTCATTTGCCGTCGTGTATATTTGTAATTGATGAAGCAGATCGATATAATGCATGTAAATGTGTTGCAGCCACGCTTTTCCCATGACTTTTTCGACACTGATCACTTTCCCAACGACAACGGCAATAGCAACACATGTTTGAAGATCACCAATTTCAGTGTAGTATTCGAGCAATTCTTTTAGCATGTCATCTCGTATATGAGCTAAATCGCCCATAACAGCACTCCCATTCATAATCATCGACGAATTTCCGCGTATATTTGTCGTCCCTGACAGTCCAATGCGATCGCCACCATCCCGTCCGTTGTCACTGGCATGCCTTCCCACAGGATCGTACGGATATGGGTCGAATCCTTCCATTGCTTGTGGATTCACTTGATCGAGTTGCTCAAGTAGAATGGACGTCTCACTTGCGTTATTAGTATTACTGTGATGTAGGGAATTGTGACCATGCTGGTCATTCTCTCGTCTGTCGTCCCTTTGCGCAAATTTGATCGCTTGGCTATCGTGGTGACCTTCACCAAATGAATGCTCATCATTTCTCTCATCGGTATATCTGTCTATTACCATGCCTATCTGTCCGTCTTCAGAGTCAAAACTTCTCACATAGCAGTGGCCAGATGTTCGTTTACTGCCATTCTTTTGATCATGCGTTGACTTTGGGGTATCAGCTTGTTCATCGGCAAACAGAACCTCCAAAATGCGCCACATTCGGCACAGGTTCGAGTTACCAGTGACAAGAGCTGCCAAAGCATTATGCGCACACATTTGTGCAAAGCTGATTACACCCTCTGAAGTAGTGGCCTCGCCACCGAAAGCAGCCCCGTTTGAAGTGCTGGTGCCATTCTTGTTGGTGATTACGTCCTCAGGAAATAGCATATAGTGCTTGGCCAAAAATCGGAAAGTGTGCTCATCAAAACCAAACGATTCTTTTAGATTCTGACTTTGCTCAAATTGTGCGCGCATGACATCTAGTTGATTTCCCGCTTGCACATACTCACTTTCGTCACCTAAAAAGATTCTCTCCAGTTGGCGCGTGCTGATGACGTTTTGAAGTGTCACCAGTGAAATCAGCGCGCGAGGAGCACCTAATCCAGTCATCATTGGAGTAATAGGTGATCCAGACGCTAGTGAAGCCGAAACGCTTGATACAGAAACAAAGTTTCCCTCAGACTGCACATTTCCCAACGCCCCATTGCTTCCGTTCCCCTGCAACGCCAGCGCGTTGGGCTGCGACAGAGGTGCAATACCTGATACTCGAGCGATTCCACCAGATCCAGCCCCGCTTGTAGCGTTGAGGCTGCTACTGCCTCCAGCCGATTTACTGCTACTTCCTATAGACGACACCCCGCTACCTAGACTGGTCAGGTTTGCACTACTGCTTCCTGATCTGTTAAGTCCCTTGGGCGCTAGTGGAGGCTGCTGAGACCCTGCACCAAACGACCATGATGTTGCGCGTGACGATACTTGTTCCTGAACAACTCCAGTATATGCATTTTCCGGGCTTCCCGAGCTACCGTGATAAGGACTTAATGATATTGTGAGCAGACCATGACTTGCTTTTCGATCACCACCTGATAAGCCAAGAGTTGGTGACAATACAGTATCACCTGCCACAGTAAAAAGCGAGCTATTCAAACTGAAATGGCGGTGAATTTTCAAGGATGCACACGATCGATCTACAAACGACGAGACAGCGACAGTAAGTGTTAGTTCACTAAAAAGTATTAAGGCAGACTGTACCGATGTAGTCATGGGAGAATGCGACCTGACCCTTCGAGGTCAGAGCTAGGGCTGCACTTGGAAGCGATTGATGCGGTTTGAAAGAGTCAGCAAGCGAATGCAGCTTAAGCGTGCCGTCTTTTGAGCATGCCAACATGTGCTGCCAATAGTCATGACCTTCCCAATCGCCAGGAATCTCTGGCTGGCCAAAATTCGGGGACATAGGCGTGTCCATCCACGATATACCCGAAGCAATGTCCGAATGCCCTTTCATGGATGCAATAGGGATAAACGGGCGCTTGATGTCCCACACGTGAATGCTATTGTCAACCAGCGAAGCACTCGTTGCGATGTGCGTAACGAAGGTCGGTCGCCAGGCTACACGCCCTACACTCGCAATTGTCTGGATCGTTTGTTTCGGTTGTCGTACATCCCTCAGTCCCCATATTTTCACATAGCGATCGCGTCCACCAGAAGCCAACACGTTGGCATCTGTCGGGTGCCAATCTATACTCAGTACCAATCCTTTATGTGCTGTAAATTTTAATTCTGGCTGCGCGTTCTTGCGCATATCCCAAACCTGCACAATACCGTTCTCGAATGCAGCGGCAAATTTATTGGGATGAAAAGGACTGGCTCGCACATCCCGAACACTTTCCGACTTTGGTTGATATGTTAGCATGACTTTTCCACCGCGTTTATCCTGCCCATTTGTAACCACACCACTACATTATAAACAGAATATGATTGGAAAATTTGTAAGTTCTTCGTACCCAGAGCTTTACCGTGCCATCCTGTGAGCCACTTATGAGAATGTTCCAATCGGACGTGTGCCAGCAAATACGATTCACCGCACGTCGATGTCCATTTAGTACTCGCTCTGACCACCACAGTTCATGAATCATTCTGATCACCGCGACAGTTTGTAATATCATTTACCTTGCACATATTTGTATCCCTCCCGCTCCAAATTCCAAATTACCACGGCGCCATTTGTGGCTGCCGTCGCCAATAAATAGTCGGAATCTGATTGTCGAATTCGTGTTAACGTAAAAAGAAAGGTGTGTACAACAGCTCTAATAACATACGTGGATGCCAGCGAATATCGTTGGTGCTGAAATTAAGACTCGGTTTTCCTACCACGCGCAAATTGCGTTTCTCAGTGAAGCCAGAGGCTTCGAGCGCCACCACCTTGAGCACTGAACAAGATAGTGAGCGACTGTCACGCTAGACGAACATCAGAAGAATTGCTTTTAACCGTCTCTTCCTCCCACAGCTACTAGGCGGTTGTTCGGAGATAGGGATAATGCATTAAGCGGCCCATTAAACTCCATAGAGGCGCGAACACTCGCTGCTGTGCACTGCTCCATCGTAGTGCTGATAAAAATGGTTCGTGTGCAGCATTCCAGCCAATCCCAAAGCTGCTGCTAGATCTCAGTCAAAAAGTGGCGTATAAATTGAACAATCCTGTATCTATTGTTCGTAGCAGGTGCAGTATTCTCCTGTGAGGAAGTGCAGATGGCCGTCCACACCCCTTCAGCCGCTACTGTATGAAAGAGCGAAAGAGTGATTGAAAGATCGCAATGAACAAATGAAAATTGGGAAATTATTTTGTACCTGCTTCAGTGGGCCCATTATTTGACTTGCCAACTCGTACGCCCAACATCTTGGTAGAAAATGGGAAACTGTCACACTACGTGCTTCAATACTAGCAGTCTCGAGTTCTACGACGCGTGGAGGCATCCGGTCTGTATTGTGTTCGAAACTAAACTGTCTGCTCTATTATATTGACTCTTCAACCTCTTGCAGTCGATTCGACGGCCATTCAATACCAAAACCTATCAAAATAAAGGCGAGACAAAGCTCTGGATGTGCAAACGCGGATGCTGCTCTGTCCGTTGGAAACTTGATTATGCTGGTACGGAATTATTAAGCGTATAGTCTTCCGTGTGCAATGTTAGTTGATTTCATGCGTTTGTATTATAGAGTTCCAAAGTTACTTTAAGTACGTCGAGGTGTCTCCTTATGTCGTGCTGCAGGACAAAACACGGCAGTGCAAGTGCGTCATGTGTTGTGGAGTATCTAATGCCGTAAGGCGATGGGACGGCCCTTCGGTACTCAAGCAGAATAGGAACATGGAGACTTATGAAGGAAGAATATCTACGAACATTTTAATGTAATTAAAGTCTCGACTTATTCCAGCCGTTTTACAATTTTTCTTGGCTACAATTCCAACGTCTGATCGTATCCGACACGTCGCAAAAACTGCACTTATTCTTCATCATCTTGTAAAAAAGGCATTCGATTCCACAACGCTGACGTGGCTGGCCTTTCAGTGGGTACGTACGGCTGACATCCAACACATTTTTCGACATTATCTCGATCTTAACACCATCAACATCAGCAATTTGAAGCCCGGAATACCAAAAAAGAATTGCCTATTTTTGCAAACTAACTAATCAAATAGCGGCGAATATAAATATATATTGACGCGCCGCTCTTCAATGCCGCAACGCACTGCCGATTTTTCCACTTGCACTTGTCACTTTCTTCCATTGAAAATGTTTTTGGAAGCACCTGTTACTTCACTCTGCTCCCTCTTTACGACCCAATATGTACATCATAAGCCAAAACGCGCACGCATCACTTTTATCTCAAATACAGACTACCAATTACTCAAACCGATACCGAACGTGCGAGTACAGCAACCTGCTCCTGTAATTTCATCTCCATCTGCGCATGGGCACGCTCAGCAGCGTCTTGATCTTTTGATAACTTTAATTGCCATTTTTCAATTCCCTCGAGCTTCTGTATCACCAATCGCTGCAACAAAATGAGAACATTCTCCGCTGCGTGTAAATTACGCATCCCTTCGATCGAGAGCGCGCTATGCGGATCATAATGTGTGCGAGAGCGTCGAGCAAAGTCCGACACAGGCTGTGGGAACTTAGGCGGCCGCACGTGTATTAATTCAGATGCAAATGATTCATATTTACGCCGTGCTTCGGGCTGAATTACATGGCACGCTTGTTCAATCAGATGACCTGCTTCCACAGCCAGTGGATACGAATTCATTGCAAACTCGCGAATACTTCCCGAGTAATTTGGTGACACAACTGCAGCCAATGCAACACGAAGCAAATGCAACGCTTTGCGGTACATTTCCTCCACTCGGTCTGCTTGCTTCTTGACACTTGCAACGGCCTTGATCTCACTTGAGAAGCTGGCGATTCGTGCATGTAAATCCAGCACAGCCGGCATATCAACAGCCTGAAACAGATTGTTGAGAATGTCTTCCTTTTCACGCTCAAGCATTACAAGTTCCTCTTGTGCATCCTCCCACCCAGAACTCATCCGCATGTTTAGCATTGGTCCGCTGCATTCACTACTACTGAAGTCTCGTGTGTCGTCCAAGCCACCAAGTCCGCCAAAGACATTATTGCCAGAACAAGCAAAATTGTTACCTGATACACCATGTACATTGCTCACATTGACAATTGCTGTGCCGTTTCGCGTAATTGTTCCTAATGTCGTGGCTGATATGGCTGTGCTCTGTCTCTCAAGTCGCAATAGCTCCTCGTCTACAATCACCGACTCGCTAAGTTTTTCACACAATTTGGACCGCAGCTTAGCCATCTTGGCAGCTTTATTAATGGTGAAGACACGACGAAAGCCGCCGCGCTCATGTTTTTCCATTTTGTCCAATAATTCCTTTTGTACATGAATCATCTGAGCTGAGCTTTTCTTCGCTTGACGTAGCTCATTCTTCACCTGCGCTGCGTCCCCAGCACCCGTAAACTGCATGTCCATCTGCGACGCGCGCACAATACGCTCGATCTCGAGATTCACTTGCTCATACTTGTGCAAAAGTCGGCGGTCTAAAACAACGTCGGTTGAAAGTGTTGGTGGGAGTGACGATCGCAATTGACTGTCCGTCTCAGCGCGAGAGCGCCCACCCAAACGCGCGCTGGCAACACGCCCCGTCTCACTCTCGGGTCGGCGATGTGCCGACTTGCAACTTCTTGGCGGTAAAGTGTCCTTCCCGTCGCTGTCGAGACGCTGCAATAGAACTGCGCCATTATTGGACACATCCGCTGGAGCAGATTTCGCGCCACCAGCGCTAGTATCGGAAGACTTTAAGCTCGAGCTTGAGGCCTGGTTTTGGACTTTGCTACTACCCACGCCATCGTCTTTGCTCGCAGGCCGCGTGCCCATTGGTGTTGCAATGATCGTGTCACGGATTCCGGACGTTCCCAAAGAGCACCCGCCCAACTGTCTTCTTGTGACGTGCCCGTCGCTCACTTGTTGTTCGAGGCGTGGAAAACAGAATGCAGCACGGAAGGGCTGATTGCGCTGTATTGCTGCGTATACAGCACTTGAGTATACAAAAATGAAGCTTAAGAGGGAGACTCGTTGTATATTTATTCATTTTGGTTAAAATGGACCTAAGATTTACTTTTGGACTAGGATTAAGTTTATTTTGATCTTAACATAGTAGTAATAGACGAACTGGATGTTTCGTTAAAATTGCACATTTTTAAAAGTCAGTAACCGGATACTCAAGTGTATAATATGGTGGACCGTCTTCTTTATCGTGCAAAAACCTTCCGACTTGACTCGCTCTATCGCGTCCATACAACCTGCTGGCGATGTACACTAACGCCTTCCGAGTACACGTACACTTATTTTTATAGAACTGAGGTACACTCCTAGCACGCTGAATTGTACACGATGCTCAACATTTTTGGTGTGCGAACTAAGATCGCTGAACGAGGCACTGACGTCCACCTGTTCTGACTTGCGAAATTGAATAAAAACTTGTCGATTACGGCATTCACCCAATAGCAGCATACTCCTATCGCACTCTCTATCGCCGTTCCGATTATGTGATATGAAGGCAAAGACTAGGCTTACTCATTTGTCCGCTGCTTTTATACCACAAAATGTTTATCTCTTTGTCTCCACGCGATGGATCACTCAGTGGGGACAAGTCGACGCCGATCGAGGCATTGTCGCGGACACGACAGTTTACCTTGGTTCCAAGTAATTTCGCAAGTTACACTTAGACAAATCACGTAAAATACTGACTCGCCTACAATAGATAACATACACGGGTGCCGCTTATCGTCGTTCGGATCAGTGTTTATTACAGTGAAACATCTTGTAAGCTGGATACTCTGATCTTTTCAAAAATATGCTCAATCTTTCAGGTTAAGGTTGATGCAGTTCTGGCGCCAAGGAGAAAGTATCGATCACAAACCATTTTCCACTCTCCTGCTCTGTAATTTTGCTTTTACAAAAGTAGTATTGGGAAATGCGACAGCAGTGCTCACTTTATTTAGTGTTTGTTGAAGCGAAACACGCCGAAACGCAAGGAAATGACATGTAAAAATGTGTCTGACTTTTGAACTAAGAGAAGCGACAAATTTACCCCGGATTACCCTCAATCGCCACAGCCAGTTCGTGCAAATTCATTCAGAAGATCTAAATCTGGAAGAAACACATCGAAATTGAATTCAAAGGGTTTCATTACTGTCCGCGAATCTGATAGTATTGTGTTTTGATAAAAATAGTGTCACGAACACCATTTACTGAGTGTCATATAGCAACAGAGTTGTGGACGCTAAATGAGTAATGAGATTTTCACTCAATATAATACCGGAACCTATTTCGATGTGGAGCTATAATCGTGTTGAAGCTGCTAACATTGAGCAGATGCAGATGCATGGTGTTTCACTTCTTATGTCCCTTTCTACTTGTAACAGTTGTACTGGCTCGATTCGCTATTGCTCCGAGCTAACCTATCAGATAATAATGACATTAATTTTCGGGTTTATTCCAAAAGGTGATACAAATAGAAAAATATTCGCGA